TCTTTAATCCATATTAGTGTTGCTGCCTGGTGATATAATTCCCAGTCGGGGAGTCCAAAGCCACCACTATATCTATTATCTTGCAATAGCTTTAATCTTATTCGAGGGGTTTTGCCCTCCCATATAAATTTAGTTACCATCTTATTTAATTCCCCATAGAATTTTTTATTTAGTTTTACAGGAACCGTCTGAAATAGATATAACCATCTTGGTAGTAAATTCATCTTTATTGTAGCAATCCTTCCTACGAGAGATAGCTGCAATTTTCCCCAAATTTCCAAGTCTTTCGTCGTCTGACTCATTAATTTATCGTGATTATCCTCTTTTAACGATGAACATTTTGCTGTCAACCAAATATCTAAATATTTAATTTTATTTGTAATTTGCAGCTCTAACAGAGCATGTTTTAATGAAGTTGTGAAACAAGAATGAATTGTGATAGACAGCAAAATTATATTTCACTATCATACCCCTTTTCTCTTCAGGTGTTGCTTTGGCTAGCGGGGAGAACTGGAAAGTGATGCGACGGTTTACATTATCCACATTACGGGATTATGGAATGGGCAAGAGGACCATTGAAGACAAAATCACAGAAGAGTGCAGTTTCTTAACAAAGACAATGGAGACTTATGCAGGTAGGATGGCATTTACCTCTAATGCTCATTTGGAGCATCTTCAAGGATAAATGAAAATTTAAAAATAATGTCCTCAGGATTTTTTCAAATAAACAAGGAGTGTGTTGGGAGTATCTCCTCTCCAACAATTTTTAAAACCATTTCTTTCTTCCCATAAATATGTTTCCTTGTCTAACTTATGCAAAGTATATTTACAGAAATGTGACTTGGCAAAATGGTTGCATAGGAGTTGAATAGTTAATTCAGTGTAATATGGCAGTCTCTAATCAATAACACTTCTAGACTTACTCTTCAATAGATAGACAAAATTCTCATCATTTTGCATTTTTATGTAGGTTCTCTGTATTTTTGCAACCCAGAAATGATATGGATCAAACTGAGTTGAGGAAAAAGAACTAAGAGGTGCCTGTGTTAAAAAAAAAATAGTCCAGAACAGGGATCCACTACCCCGCTCCCCCCCCACCAGTTTGGAACTGGGCTGTGTGTGTGTGGTGGGTGAATTCATGAGCGTGCACAGACCTCCCCTCGTTCCATTAGACTGCTAATCTACAAAACTAAAAGATCTTCATCTAATTGCCAAATGAGTTTGCATTGGTAGAGCATGTCTACATATCTCCAAACTCATCATGCTATTGGCTTTTTGGTATACCAGTTGGAATAAAGAAAGGCATGAGATCATCTAGTTTATTAAGCAGTACATATGAATCAAATTATAGGCATCTACCATCCAGGGTTAGAATTCTAGTCCTTTCCTTCTATGATATTCTGAGTGAATGATATTTTGGTTGCTGTGTTCAGAGATTTGAGAATGGGAAGTGACTGCAGAAATATCTTAATCCTTCTGTTCTACCTTTTGGGAACTATTGATTAGATACAACCCTAAGATTTGTTATTATGAAGTTCATAATCCATTTGATCTTTAAAACTGCAATCATTTAATGAGGAAGCATCACAATAATTTTGCCAAGTATTTTATCTTCAAGGAGTTCGACAGTTGCAAAGAAAACATCACTGATGTATGGTCAGATATTGTAATTCTGCCTCTGAGGAACTGAATTACCCTTTAAATACTTTTTTTCATATTTTTAATCTAAATACTTCAAATACTTCCAAAACTAACTATATGATTTTCCAAGATAAATTGTCATTTTAAACAAGCTGATTTTGAATATGAATGCAGTATTTTTTTTGATCTATTGTTTTTGCCTAGGAAAAGCCTTTGATGTCACAACTATTCTGAATGCTGCTGTTTCCAACATCATAGTTTTTATTCTCCTTGGGAAACGCTATGAATATGAAGATGCCACATTTCTGCGACTACTGAAGATAGTAAATGAAAATCTTCAGCTTTCGGGAAGCCCTGCTGCGTTGGTAATCTAATTTCCTATTTGGAAAAAAAAATGCCATGAAAAAGAAGCAGCAGAATGGATATCATTCAAGCTTTGTTGAAAAGCAAAGCATGTGGTTCTCATGGGCATCTGTGACAAGATTTCATCAAAAGACAACATGAAGATGATGACATCAGGATTCAAATCCTGCCCTTACCTACTGTGTTTCTCCAACAATATGACCTCCCCCAATAGGAAGACCCAGCATGTTTTCTAGGCATAAAATGAAATTAAGCCCCTCCCCCCAAATTTAGGCCTATTTTAAAACATGCAAAATGGGGGGAAGGGTGGGGGGACTTGCCGTTAGGAGTGCCCCGTGGGCAGCAATTCCTCGCCACCAGCTGCTCCTAATGGGTGATCATGGCAGAGCGCGGAGAGCTCCCTACTCCTGCCAAGCTCCTTTGTGGCAGACCCAAGACCTTCAGCGCCCACCGCTGTTGATTTCCCTTCTGCCCTTGCCACCGCTGCGTTTGGAGCTGCCACTTCCACGTTTGGAGCACCACTGCTGTTTGGAGCACCACTGCCGTTTGGAGCTGCCACTTCTGCATTTGGAGTTGCCGCTGCATTTGGAGCTGCCGCTTCCACGTTTGGAGCGCTGCCGCTGTTTGGGGCACTGCTGCTGTTTGGAGCTGCCACTTCCGCATTTGGAGCTGCCACTGCATTTGGAGCTGCTGCTTTCGCATTTGGAACTGCCGCCGCGTTTGGATCTGCCGCTTCTGCGTTTGAAACCCCATCGCTGTTTGGAGCACTGCCGCTGTTTGGAGTTGCCATGTCCACATTTGGAGCTGCCACCACGTTTCGAGCTGCCACTTCCACATTTGGAGAACTGCCGCTTTTTGGAGCACCACGACCATTTAGAGTGCCGCCACCACTCCAAACACAGTGGCAGCTCCAAATGCAGAAGTGGCAGCTCCAAACATGACGGCGATGCTCCAAATGGCGGCGGCACTCCAAAAATGGAAGCAGCAGCTCCAAACATGATGGCAGTGCTCCAAATGGTGGCGGCACTCCGAACATGGAAGTGGTAGCTCCAAACGTGGTGGTGGAATGGGCAGAAGGGAAAGCAACAGCAGCGGGTGCCAAAGGTCTTGAGTCTGCAGCAAAAGTGTTTGGTGGGAGTAGGGAGTTTTCTGCGCTTTGCCATGATCACCTGTTAGGAGCGGCTGGTGGCGAAGCTGCCCACGGGGCACTTTAGATGAGGATGCGACAGGGGGGAATTAAGTCACCCCTGAAAAGACAGCCTAGCCATTTTTTCAGGGCTCAAAAAAATATAAGACCCAGCCTTATTTTATGAGAAACAAGGTAGTTGTATATAAAAATCTCATGCAAGTATGAAAATCACTTTCAGCATCAGGACCATGTAACTCCTGCTTCATCATTTCCTCCCAGAGGTGGTATTCAGCAGGTTCTGACCAGTTCTCGAGAACCAGTAGCGGAAATTTTGAGTAGTTCGGAGAACTGGTAAATACCACCTCTGACTGGCCCCTCCCCCATCTATTCTCTGCATCCCAAGTCCCAGCTGATTGGCTGGGTCTTCTTTTGTTGCCCTGCACAGGAGAACGGAGCTGGAAAGCAGGTTAGTGGGGTGGGGAGGGAATGGGATTTTGCAGTAACTTTCCCTGATGAGTGGGGAGGGAATGGAGATTTTACAGTATCCTTCCCCTGGAGTGGGGTGGGAATGGAGATTTTGCATAGGAGATTATCCTTCCCCTGTCACACCCACCAAGCCACGCTCACAGAACAGGTAGTAAATTTTTTTGAATCCCACCACTGTTTCCTCCCCATTCCTTGAAAAAGCTTGTGAACTTGGAGAAGTGGGAGCCTTCATTGCAAATACCTTTCCATCCTTCTTTTACTCTTTACAGCACCACACAACTTTACATGTACAAAATAGCTCTCTTGTTTAGCACTTTTGTTGAGTTTCTTTTATTTATCATTTCTATTCCTTGTTTGGGAATCCATACAATGTGGTAGAAAATAAGCACTTCCTCTCCCAAGGGAGAATCCATGGGATTTGGAGCTTAATGAATTAGCAATATCGGTTATCCAAAGCTCATTCAATCATGTGATTTTGCTTGTATGACTGTAACCTTGTTGCTTGTATCCTAATGATTTTTATTGACTGTTTCCTAGTATGATTTAATTGCTTATTGTACCTTAGGACTATTATTAAGTATTGTACCTTATGGTTCTTGACAAATGTATCTTGTCTTTTATGTACACCGAGAGCATTTGCACCAAGACAAATTCCTTGTGTGTCCAATCACACTTGGCCAATAAAGAATTCTATTCTATTCTATTCTATTCTATTCTATTCTATTCTATTCTATCCTATCCTATCCTATCCTATCCTATCCTATCCTATCCTAATATTATTGGGTGGGGGGGTTGTTCATTTTGTAGACTTGGGGAACATAACAATGTTCGAGATGTCCATCTCAGAAATTCAAAGCATTCATTTCGCTAATATGTGTTTTCTTTTATCATTCTTTAAGCTATACAATTTATTTCCCAAGTTGGGGTTCCTTTTGGGTCTTGGTAGAAAATTATTGAAAAATGAAAAAGAGTTCCATGATTTCATACAGACCACCTTCATAGAATATCTCCAAGATCTTGATGAAAATGACCAGAGGAATTTTATTGAATCATTTCTTGTTCGGCAAAAACAGGTAATGGATTATTTTATAGGTGGCTATAATTACTGGGTTTTTGTTTTTACGTATTTTAAAAATGTGCCTCCATAAAAACTACCTTTTAAGAGAAGAGAAGTACCTTCTTTTGAAAATATAGAAGTAAACGAATTTACAGAGCAATATTATTCCTTGCCTCTTCATTACTTTTTTTCAGAATCTGCAGCTATTTAAAACTTCACCCAGATTACTTTCTCTTCTCCATTTAAAATGCCATAAATATTGATCTCTTTCCGGGTGAGTGGGTTCAAGTGGGGATAGGAGCGGACAATCCCTTTGTGCCAATCTTTTCTCTTTCTGTGCAACTGTTTGATTTTAAAGTTTTCCTTCTAGAAATCCAGTAGTGTTGGGGCAACTATAATTTCTCAGGCCATTGCCCACATATGAAATGTCATCTGAGACTTCAGGAATACACGGATTATATGGATTTCCTTACTAATATTTTCTTTATATACTACAGGAGAATATGAAGATGACACATGGTGGATTTTTCCATAAGGGAAATCTTATCGGTCTGGTAGATGATTTATTTAGTGCTGGTACAGACACAACGGCAAATACTCTGCGCTGGGCCATACTCCTAATGATGAAATACCCAGATATTCAGAGTAAGCACTTTCATTTCATTGGCTTGCAATAAATAGACGCAAATTACTGAAAAAGAACTGTTGGCATCTGGAAGGTTACTTGAATGAAGGGAAAGAGATGAACCAAGAATTAAGTTGTTTTTCAAATGAACAAGACAACATTGATCTCACTAAAGGTAAATAAACTTACTTCCCAAATGAAATTGGGTTTTAATAAACTCAAATCATTTAAAGCTACATAGAGATTATTAGAATATTTCTTGTATTTTTGTTTCCTTTTTGATTAGTTTTACATTTTTAAAAGAAATATATATTTTTTTCATAATCATGGTTTTTTTAAAGTAATAATCAAACAAGAGAAAATTTGCCCTTCGTACCCTAGTATGAGGCAAGAGTGAAGTGACTTTCTATTAAGAACAATGTATTTCAATTGTGATCTGATTTTGATAGATTGTCAACACCAAAACACAGATCTTTATGAGTTTCAATTTACATTTCATTCTTCATCTGAGCTGAAATAGCAAAGTGAGAGTCAGTCATTAGTTCATCTCTTCTCTAAATGTAAATATTCTTAAAAGAAGAAGGAAGAAGAGGAATAAGTTTTAAAACAGGAGATCACAGATTAATCTCATGAGATACGCAGCACAAATATACATGGCTTCATAGCCTTATCTTTTAATAGTGCAGATGAAATATTTCTGGATGTACCTAAACAAATTATAAAGTCCAAGGATGATATCACTTTTATAATTACCACTAATAAGATTGTACGTATCTTAGGTATAGTCCTGTCATGTATGAATTTATTCTCTGTATCTTTGTGATGTTCTCTTCTATATGAATTTGCTGTGTTCCTCTAATATGTAACAAAGTTCCTTCGTGGTTTAGGACCAGTTCTCCAAAGATTTATTTCCAATTTTGCTTTATTGAGCAATCTGGGGAATATATGACTGCTGGTGGTTTTGAGTGGCTTATAGTTTAAAAAGAAAGAAAGAAAAATCAGAAATGGCCTGAAGACCTAGAAAAACCAAAACCTATCTAATCAGGGCTCCAACCTCAACCTATCACAAAGTCCAGGAGAAAGCCAAGTCTTCAATAGGTTTCTGAATGACATCAGAGTGCCAGCAATCTGGATCTCTGGATGGTACTTTTGCAGAGGCTGGGCATCAGTTCCGTGAAGGCATGCTTCCTGGAGTCCCACTAGATGCCATTAATTGATGGTCCCAAAGTATTTCCACTTGGACAATCTCACCAGCACTTGAATTGCATTCAGAATCCTACTATGAAGACGACTACAAGTCTTCCAAATGTACAGCAGATTACAGTGGTCAATTTGTAAATAATGCATGAATGACTGTCTGAAAGGCCTTCATTCAAGGATTACAGTCAGTGATCGTTGTTTTCGTTCAGAATTAGAGTTTTTATACATTAACTCCCATTTAAAACAAAATTCAAAAAAGGAATCATCTTGATCATTTGTTTTCCCAGGAAAGGTCCAAGAAGAAATTGCAAGAGAGATTGGTGATACCCAGCCAAGGACAGACCACCGAGCCAAAATGTCTTATACTGATGCCGTAATTCATGAAATTCAAAGGTTTGGCGATATTGTTCCCACCAATTTACCACATGCAACTACCATGGATGTAACTTTCAAAGGCTTCTTCATCCCCAAGGTGATCAGTCTAAATTTAATGTATTATATAGAGGCTAGTTTTTTGTGTACAATGTGATGGGAATAAAAGCAGACCTTTCATGAATGGAATTGGCTAAATGAAATTATACGACCGGAGACTGTTATATTATTAGAACAATTTCCATAGATGCCTCTCTAAATGCCAATGGTAGGTGTTTTTCTTTAGCATCTGGCATTCCCAAACTGCCCTACATCTTAATATATGACAGAAGCTTTCTTCCATTGTTTCATTCTTTCATTTCTCCCTCTCTTAGTTTATTGCTTTATAGCCCCTTCTTCTGTTCAGTCAGTCTTGAATATTGGTTTTGGGTTGTGAATTTTGATTCCACAAGTGTAAGGTAAAGTGTTTCAGTGTAGTAAAACAGAACTTATTTTTTATTTTTTTATTTAGAAAATGTATATAGTTGCCTACTCACTTATGGCAACTCTAGGCAGCTTACAATCAATAAAAATATAATACAGAAAAAAATTATAATAAAAAATGACCCCATCCCAGCAGCAGCATAAAATTAAATAAGGCATTTGATGGGCTCCCCTCTGGGTTCCCCAGGCCCACTGGCAAAACCAAGTCTTCAGGACCTTCCAAAAGATTGCCAAACTGGTGGCCAGTCTAATTTCTGCAGGGATGATGTTCCAGAGGGAGGAGGCCACCACAGAGAAACCCCTTCTTCTGGGTCCTGCCAGATGTAACTCCTTAGGGCAGGAAACTCACAACTCCTTGCCTCCCCATTCTAGTGGACCAGGTGGATGTAATCAGCAAGAGACAATCCCTCAGATAACCTGGTCCCAAGCAAATCAGCAACCAATGCAGCTTCCATAGCAGAGGTGACCCTGCATTTTGCTCCAACAGGAGCTTCCAGATATAATAGTCAAGACAGAAGGTGACTGAGGCATGAGTGACCATGAGAGGAATTACTGGTTTAAGAAAGGGTGTAAATGGTGCACAATCTGCAGATGTGCAAAGTCCTCCTGGCCATGACTGCCACTTGCACTACAAGCAGGAGTCATGAGTCAATGGAGAATCCCCAGATTATGCACTGGATCTGTATGTAGCAATACCACCTCATCCAAGACCAAAGGTGGCAATTTCCATGGACCAAAGAACCCCAAACCTAGAGTCATTCTGTCTTGCCAAGGTTCAGTTGGTCCCCATTCAGCCCCATCCAGCCTCAAGGCACTGTGAGAAGGAGGTCACGGCATCGCTTAAATCACCACAGGCTGAGACGTACTGCTGAGTATCATCAGGATATTGATGATACTCAGTCCAAGGTGATAGATGATTTCACCCAATGGCTTCATGTAGATGTTAAGCAAAAGCAGAAGGAGTACCGAGTCCCATGGGACCCCACAAGCAGTGTACGAGGCTGGAACTCTCACTTCCTATTAACACCAACTGAGAGCAGCCACAGAGGAAGGAAGTGAACCAGGATAGCACAGAGCCCCCCTTTCCCCCCCCCCCCCCACAAACTTATTCAGAAGGATACCATGGTCAATGGTATCGAAGGCCACTGAGAAGTCAAGCAGAGCAAGAATTGGTGCACTACCCGCCATCCCACTCCAGCCAAAAATCATTTAAAAAAAGCAACCAATACTGTTTCTTTCCTATATCCAGGCCTAAACTCTGACTGCTAAGGATCTAGATAAGCTGTTTCATCCAGAAACTTCTGGAGTTGCTGTTCAACCACCTTCCCCAAAAAGGGAAGTTTGGAGATTGGATTATCCCCTGTTAGAAATTATCCAACAGGGGGTAATCCAGTGATGACTTCTTAAGAAGAGGGTAGACCACAGCCTACTTAAAGTGCTGGGGCATTTCCCCCTTCTGGAGGGAAGCATTAGTCACCATCAGAATTCACCTGCATGTCACCTCCCTGGAAGCTTTCACAAGCTAGGAAAACCATGGGTCTAAAACACAGGTGCTTATGCACATACTCTATAGGATTCTGTCCACTTCCTCAGGAGCAGCAGGGTCAAATCATTAACAAGGTAACAAGGCAAGAACCTGCCATAGGTTCTTCTACATCTAACTGAGAATGAAATTGAGTGATTTTGTCTTTCAGAAAATCAACAAATTTCTCAGTGTACCCCTTCAGGTGGACCTCCGTATCTTCCTTCCCTAGGAGATTCACCTTA